GACATGGGCGTTCCAATGATTCGATATATTCATCCATTCGTGAAGGGCTGTAATGCGGCAATAAATTTTATATTATTGTGATAATAAATTTTAATAGCAAGGCCGTCCGAAAAATCCGAGCGTCTAACAATGTCAGTGATTAACAATTAGTTTTGTTAGTTATTAGTAATGTTACTGGGACAGCATGTCAAGGACAGCCACTGCTGCTCGATGGTTCGCATTTGCGCACTTCTGTTGCCCCTCAGACCAACCCACTTTTTCTGTGAAGCCAATTGAAATCCACTTTGTCAAAACACCCGGATTTTTACGTCACAATCCCTCAAGTTTTCTTATAAATTCTATTTGGATATAATAAATTATGTGTGGATCTGAAAGGCTACCTGCCAAGATGGAATGCAGGCGAAGGTGAGCGTGGCGGACTCACCGACGAAGCCCTTGCATGTGCATTACCGGCACTTCTGTTATAAACATCTGATCTATAGCGGCTTTCTCTCTGAAAAAAATGATTTCACAAGTGGTGGAGATTTCACATGTTTCTCGCTGAGCCCCAATTTCAGTTTTAATATTCGAAATTTCAGGCAGTTCAAAGGAAAGCGAGGCAGGGTGATGTCCAATTTTCACCAATTTTTTGCAATCAAGTCGTTCAGTGGAAAAATAAGAATCGCAAAAAACAAATCCACTTTTTTTGGTCAGTGAGACTGGGTTCGTGTTGCAGCAAAAAACTTACCACTTCAGCACAGCATGAGCAAGTAACATGAGCATAATTCTTTATTTGAGTACACACTTCCAGCACTGCCTTACCGCCTGCCTCAACCTGAAATGCTTCTTCTGTTGAATATGCTGAGTTGAACGATTCACAACTTGACACTTTGTTCAACTGTTTTCGCAGTGTAGCTGGCAACATTCTCAATTCCTCTGACTGACTTTGCAATACATGCTGGTTAATTATCTGGCATTCTTTACGTCCTCCTGAAGAAATTACCAATGGTTATCCCGAAGAAGCATTTAACATGGATTTAATCATTCCCAGATGTCACTATTCTGTGTGTTGAGTATCAGCATTTCATCTCGAACGTTGTCATCACTAGACCAAGATGAGATATTTCAGCCAGTGTGTTTTAATTAGACTATTACTTACTTTAATCAACTGCAATTCAAGTTTTGCCTGCTAGCTGCGCAGATGGCAATTTTTATGCGTTTTGTGCGGTGTAACAGCAATACAAAACGCATATTGTCAAGGGATTGTCTGTGTGTGTCTGTGTGTCCCACATTTTGTCCCGCACTTTCAACTTGGGGCCACAAAAGCTAGGCGGCTGAAATTCTGGTATAGTTTCCCCCGCCAGCGGGTGACGCGGCAAATTTAAATTCAGCCTTCTCGAATCCGCGGTAACACATACGGCCCCGTAAAAGTTTTTCGAGTAAAATTAGTATCTCGGGAACTACGGAAGGCAGAAGGCTGAAATTTCGTGAGCATGTCCCCTGCCCTGTACTACCCAGAAAATTTAAATTCAGCTTTCCCTGGCCCGCGGGTAACAAGTACGGCCACGTGAAAATTTTTGACGGGTAAATTATTATCTCGGGAACCACGAGTCTAAGAAGTTGAAATTTTAGGATAATGACTCCCTGCCCACACTCAACCTTGCCCATTCAAATTCAGCGTTCCCGCGCTCTCGGGTATCACTTACAGGCTGGTAAATTATTATCTCGGGAACTACGGGGTCTAGGAAGCTGAAATTTTAGAGCAGTGACCCTCTGCCCACGCTGCCTATTCAAATTCAGCTTTCCCGCGCCCTCAGGTATCAGCTACGGCCTCGTGAAAATTTCGGATAAACTATTAAATATTAACTCGGGAACCACGGAAAGATATTCACCCTTCAAATTTCGAATTCATGCACATGCGCGTGAAATTTCTAAATATTTTTCAATGTTTCAACTATTTTTTATAGACTAAAGTACAACGCAGTGAAAATCATTAATATGCGATCGTTCGATGGGCTGAATTGCATAAAACGCACAATCGCACCGGCTAGTCTGGTGCGCGCTGCTATTTATTTGAACTGTTTCGATCACTGCTGCATCACCCGATGGTCAGTTTGCTGCAGTAGTGACGTACCTTGCGTCGATTGAATGGGTTACCAACATAGTGGTCCTAGACTATGAAAAATAATCACAGAAATGTAGTAAACATCAGAAATAAATAAACAGTAAAAAAACCTCTAAATGAAGTGGCAGGAAAATAGACTTAGCGGCTACTGAGGATCAGTCTTCACACTTTTTACAGACCATTTAGTTCCCTTTATTGAGAGTAAGAAACGTTCATTTAAAGTTCATCTCAACAGATCATCCGTTTTCTCTACGTTTTAGACCTGTACTGTTCTCGTGCTGATAGGCGCGCTCAGGACATGTGGTGAGTGCTATTTTGCTAAACACTAGGCAATTAGAAAAAATCAGATTCGTATGACAGGAAAAACGGTGTGGGTTGCAAAAACAGACGGTGTGACGCTAATAGTACGGGATTTGACAAACATAAAGCGCGAGAAGTTAAAGTTAGCAAGCTGGGCGAATACAAGAAGCCAGCATTTGTAAAAAAAATCTCGGGTGTAAATACCGCTGTCTCGGTTAGACTTGACCAACACCATCATACATGGTACAACAGGAAGAAATGCTGGGCTAGCGATGTGGCAGGAATGAAAGACGACGGATGAGTAAAGCGAGTTACTGAATAATACTCATGAAATGTTGAAAGAGACGAAGCGCTGCTAGTCTGAATGACTATATGAAACTACCGCAGATAAGTGAGACCCAAAATCCAGAATTATAAAGTACCAACAACTAAATCCGACAGATCCGCAAAGCAAATATGATTCGTGATGATACATGCACGAAAAATGGCACGAGCATTGTAAGAAATTTACCTGACAACGGCGTCCATTTTGGTCCAAAAAGCCATTGATATGTCGCAAAGCAACATCCAGGAATTGAGTACCGCAAGCTATGTAATTTAATCCTATTGAGTCGTGAATAAACCATCTGAAATGAGTACGAATTGGAGGTAAATGCACACAGGGCGAAACAGCTCGCATCACCTGAAGCACAGGAAATTTGCAAACAATACCTATTTAATTTCCTAGACGATAAGGTACCCCATCGATCGAAGAGTAACCAGCAATGTCCGGAATGAGATGAGTGTTATTTAACAGTCACTAAGGACGCCTTGGTATAGCTAAAGCCTTGCCTTTAATAAAAGAACCATTAAACCTTGGGGGGATGAAAAAACGTAGTTGCCAGCAGGCTAACCACCAGGTGATGCAGCACTGAACAAAGCAACCGGAAAAATTGTTCACTGTGAAGGTGGAGAACTAACTGTTCCAAATACCTGAGATATATGTACACAGTCCAGGAAAAATACGAAATTTCGATAGATTTGTTTTTAGAGTAAAGAAAAGCTAGTCCTAAATAATGTAATTTGATTCGTCTAAAAGCTACCACCAATGCAGACACCAGAAATAGTCTGCATATGCAAAACATACCTAATAATACAGCTTTGAATATTTTTGTAAGATGTACAGAAAGATTGTGAGAACTACTAGAAATCTGCAAACCTGAGGGAATTCACAATGACCTCTTTCTGTTGACAGGGGCCCTCGGCAAGCCAGTGAATGAGCACATCAAGCGCGCCTTGACAACGGAGTGCCGCTCGTCCCCAGGCATCCTGAAAGCAAAAGAAAATTCAAGTTCCCATCAAATAAGGCATAAAGGCAATGCCTGAAATAAAAAAAGCGTAGAAAGGTCTGTGCCACGCAAAATTTTGCTAAAAATGAAATACAGAAGAATTTAGCTACTTTTTAACTGCTATTTTTATTTGTAAAGAAATAAAAATAGTCATAAGGAATCAAAGTAAAGAGAAGTGGGCAATGAGCAAACACTGAATTTCTTTCTCTACCCTCTCCAGTCCTTGCAAGAAACCCTAACAATTTCGTTTATAAAAAAAAAAGAAAAAAAAAATCAAGCTTGTAAACACAGACTGAAAGGATGGCAGTTGGTAGCATTTCTTGGAAAAATAAGATACATATAAATGACAGTGACCTGTGCGAAACAGAGCAGCATTTTGAGCATAT